GTTATTTGGAACTACTAGTGAAGCTCCAGAAACTAACAACAATATTGGGTGGAGTTGCGTCTTGGAGTCACCAAATTGAATTAACTTGCTTGCTCTGCGGATCAGCAAATGATTCGTGAGACCATATTGTATTTTCTCTGCGGATATATAGAGAAAGGACTCTCATGCTAATGCTATTTTTCTCTTCTCCTCTTAACAATAACAGATGATCAGCTAATACGCAGTTTCTGCCAAGGTATATGCCTTCCAATCAACCTTATACCACATTTGCGCGAGAAAAATGGTCGTAGATATGGAGAAACGCTTTCACCAACATCTCGACTCATTAAGCTCATCGACAAAAATGTTCCGAATTGTCTAAGCTCAATCCGTATCACGGTATCAGTGAAGATTATTCTTACGAGGATGGCCTTGCAGAACGGTTCGCCACACGACCATAGAGAAAACCTAATCAACATTGAAAATTTTGACATCATGCATGCTCAATCTAGATTTCGATTCAATGTAATATTGCTTTTTTCAAATATATTATGTGGTGTGGGGACAATAATTAATTTTCTTAAGAATTTATACTAATTAATTTTTTTATTGGGGGCAGTTGCCCCCATTTTCTTACATGTGCCTTCGCCACTATATATATATTGTAAAGAAAAAAAAAACAGATGATCAGCAAAAGAATCACGGGACAATTGTTGTTTAAAGCAGCTCCATCAGTGAGACTATCATCAAATGTCTCTTAGTCATTTTTTTAATAGTTTAGGTGAGAAAAAAAATTGTTAAGATATCTTCCTAATTTTCGTGGTCCATTAGAGATATCTTTGGAATCTCTAAAAATTTGAATGGGCTATGTTTATTATTGAAAAGGTTATTGGCCCATATTTTTATCCCCATCCCCTCTCCAATTAAAGTTACACACGTGTATTAGAGACTTGTGATGATATGTCTCTAAAATAAGGATTTTTAGAGACAGTCTTAAACCTTTTCTTCACTTTAGATTAATTTTAAAACCTTTTTAATTCTAAAAGACTGTTACAGTCTCACCAATGGAGCTGGTCTTAGTGCGGATGTATAGAAAAAGCTACAACTCTTCTTCTAAGGACAAGTGTCAGAAACATCTTATCGACGGTGAAAAACAAGTTTTGACAATGCAACAAACTGGATCCTCTATGGGTACTCTTCTTCTTCTTATTGACTTATATATGGTCTTCACACTAATCAATTTCCGCAAGGATGTGAATATATATAGCTCCTTCTATGTTGGCTTATATGATCCTTCTCTTCTAAACGTACTTGTTCTTTTTACGTTGTATGTTGTTCTTATTTGATGATTCACTGGATATTATTTTCTAGTTTCTACTACAATAGAACAACTTGAGATTGTAGTATAAAAGATTTGAAATCCAGAGGATCAGTGTTACTCTATGATTCTACGAAGACTAAAACAAAACTGAAAAAAAAAATAATTTGATTGTGTTTATGGTGAGAAGTAAAAAAAAACAAATGATGATTAAAATGTGATGAAAATAAACACTAGATTAAGGCAATTCGCAGGACTTCCAGAGATAGAAACCGAACGACTATTCAAGGCACAATTTAATTGCAAGTCTTGAACTCAAACATAAATGCATATCGACCCACTGTCATGGCACCGATAACTTTGTCGAACATTCTAAATTCTAAAATGTCATTAGAACCTAGAAATCACAGACAAGCCTTAACAAACATGTTTGATTTGTTCACGATCCGCCTTAACATCAACTGTCGTTGGCTAAGGACGAATTTCTCACCAATGTCTCTTCTAGCAACCTATTACATTTTTGATGAACATGTTAACTTAAAATTGCAGATTGAGTGATCAATTCAACCTAAACATTAAGACTAACAATGGTGAAGACAATCAGTATTAAGCCCTATTTGCATTCAATTAACTAAGTCATGAAAATCTCTTGAAAACCCTAATCTAGCTAAAGAATCTACTCAGATATGGCGAAAAAAACAACAACTAAAGATGAAAAAGAATTCATGAATAAAACTCAGAGGTATCAAAAGGGTTCAGAATTCTTCTCAAGTGTAACAAAGATTGTTCTCCCAAATCTTACAAACAAAAACTCCAAAGGTCGAGAAAAGTGTAAAAATAAAGCATAATGATAAAAATAGGCAGCTCTGGTCTTTTATATCATCTTTCACGTCTCAGAAGTAGGTAAAATCTATTTTCTTATTTTTCTCCAGAGGTTGGAGCAGGTGCTCTACAAAGAGGGTTAGTCGGGAGCAGGTGGTCCGACTATCCATCTGCGTATGAATTGGGCTCTCTTACTCAGCTTCAACTCCTTTTTGCTCCAATCTTCACCTAAAGCTTCCTAATTACCTGAAACGGCCTGAAAATGACTCTAAAGACTCTAAAAAGATCAGCAAAAAGGGATTAGAATGAGTCAAAATTACCACTTATTATTTGATTCAAAAAAAAAAAAATATAACCTCGAATCATTGTACTTCTCAAAACAAAATAACAAATTGAAATTTTTTTAAAAAAAAGGCACAGAGAAAAGCCCTTATTTAACTTTAGTTTTATAATAACATGAAGCTCTCATAATAATCTGAAACAGTCAGAGAAAGTCTTTCAGTTTCGGCTCGCTTAAGCTCGGAAACAGGCAGTCCTTCAATTCTGGCACTTCTCATGCTTTTCTTCTCCAAATTGTAATAGAAAAGACAAAACAAATCAGACAATTTTTTTAAAACCAGACAAATCTCACCGTTAGAAAAGGTATCCATGACCATGTAGGCAAGGCCATCAGCAGCAGATTCAGGGAGATGAAAAGTGCTCATGGACCATTCCTCTTTCTCAGCATCTTCCACAACCCACATTCTAAAACTACCCTTAAGACGAGGATTCTCAACCACTCCAATTTTTCCTCTATAGTTGATCAGAGTTTTATCTGTGTCGTTATCACTTGTATCAACCCAAGGATAATGAAACCACATACTCATATATCCCATTGATGTTAAAACTTTGCTTGGTACTTGGATGATGTTGAACGTTTCAAGCCTAACATCGAAACACACAATAATAGAACTATTAGGGCAAACAATGTCCTTCCTGGCTGCCCCGTAATACACGGTTCCATTCATATACAGCCCAGAGGTATGAGACACATGAGGACAGGCAACACATTGGGCCTCTCTCCAAGCTCTGTCTCTTCCCACAACCAGAACCTTGTGCTCCCCTCTGGAAGCCCATGCATCAATGGCTAGCACTTTGTATTGATCTTCAACAGGGTCGCACCCAAAATTGTAGTCATATCTTTCCGGATCAATTTTGAATTTAAATTGGGGAAAAACTTGGACCTGCCTCGTGATGGGGTTATAATCCCAACCTTTAGTCTACTTCCAACGCAGATCATACCCCGATACATCACTCTCCCAACACTTTTGAGTAGGCTCAGGTATTTGTAGGGTACACAATACAAGGAAGAGGAGGATGCGTCTGAGTTAGGCAACAAGACTAACAAAAGCTTTTTTTCCGTGAAAATCCTCAAAAGCCATGAGGAGACGAGGAGAAGCTGCGGAAGAAGCAAAATTCAAGTGTTGGTTCCTCAAATTTAGGCTTGTGTTTTTATAATGGTGGTCATATTTTATATTAAAAAATTAAATATAAAAAATTATATCTCAATATAAAATAATTTTTTATTATTTATTAAAAAAATTATATATATATATATATAAATAAATTATATTTTTTATTATAAAAATGAATAAATTATATTTAAACACACAAGACACAAATTATATTACAAAATTTGATACAGATTAGAATCTAATTATTATAAATGAATTTATTTTTATATTATTCTGAAAATTATTATAGTGATGACACGTCAGTATGGTTAGAAATCACATGTGTCAATATTTTTTTTTATCAGTCGTCAATTAATATATAGGAAATTTTCAATTTTTTATCATTTTCTACGTACTTATTATTATGAATGATGTATATCTGTCAGAATAACGTTTTCCAAACATAGGACATGAAAAACTACATATAGTTCAAGGTCTATGTTTCTATTCGAAGTAACCGCACGGTCCGCACCGATGGATTCGAGTTTGACATGTGATCCTCTTCTAACCGATTTCTATTGCCGGTAGGGCTGGTTTAATACAGTTATTAGATCCGGTTTAGCTGATCAACTACAAACACAAGATTCGGAAAAGAAAGCAACGTCTAAACAAGGCACATGTATTAAGACTTAAGAACACTCTTATTTATTTGACATTAAACAATAAATTGCAAATCAAAAAATGGCATATATATTTGGAACTACTTGAAGGTCCAGAAACCAACCACATTGGATGGAGTTGCGACTTGGAGTCACGAAATTGAATTAACTTGCTTGCTCTGCGGATCAGCACATAAATTGTGGGACCATAGTAATTAACTTGCTTGCTCCGCGGATCAGCACACGAATCGCGGGACCATAGTGTCTTTTCTATGCGGATATACATGGAGAAAGGGCTCTCATTCTATTCTTTATTCTATATCCTATCTATAACAGTTGATCAGCAAATCAATCACGGGACAATCTTCTTTTTTTTTTTCAGCGTGGATATATGATAAAAGTTACAACTCTTCTTCTAAGGACTATCGTTAGCAAAAAATCAGTGAAAAACAAGTTTGGCTATGCAACACTTTTTCTTGACTTATGGTCTTCACGCCAGTCAATTGCCGCAAGGATGTGAATTGTTCTTTCTATGTTGGCTTACATGATCCTTCTCTCTTCCTAAACGTACTTCGTGTCGGGCCTTTGATTTGTTTTTTTTTTTTTTTTGTATGTTGTTCTTAGTTGATTCCATGTAAACTCTATCATAAAGTAGTTAAAAAAAGGCTCTATGATATATTAATCAAAGAAAAAAAATTATCTTTGAATCATTGTATTTCTCCAAAAAAAAACTAACAGTGTAATTTCTATAAATAAAGCACATATATAAAGAGGAGCCCTAAATTAATTTCAAGTTCCTAAGAACATGAGGCTTTCATAATAATCTGAAACAGTCACATAAGCATGCTTAAACTCGGAAATTGGCAATCCTTCAACTATGACATTTCTCATGCTATTCTTCTCCAAATTGTAATAAAATAGACAAAACGGATCCGACAACTGGCTTGGAACGAGACAGATTTCTCCGGTAGAATAAGTATCCATGACCATGAAGTAATGGCCAGCAGCAGATTTGGGCAGATGATAAGTGTTCATGGACCATTCCCCTTTCTCAGCATCTTCCACAACCCACATTCTAAAACTACCCTTAAGACGAGGATTCTCAACCACACCAAGTTTTCCTTTGTAGTTGATCAGAGTTTTATCTGTGCCGTAAGCACAAGGATGCACACGCCACATGTTCTCATAACCCATTGGTAGAACTTTGCTTGGTACTTTGATGAATTTGAACGTTTCAAGCTTAACATCAAAACTCACAATCATAGAATTATTTGGGCTATCAATGTCCGTCCTGGAAGCCCCGTAGTACACGGTCCCGTTCATATACAGCCCTGAAGTATGAACCTTATGTGGACAGGCAACAGTACATTGTGCCTCTCTCCAAGCTCTGTTTCTTCCCACTTGTAGAACCTTGTGCTCCGCTCTCGAAGGTGAGTTATCGATGGCGAGCACCTTGTATTGATCTTCAACAGGGTCGTACCCAAAAAAGTACTCGGAGAATGGATGTCCTTTCGGATAATCTTTGAATTTAATTTTGGGCAAACATTGGAGCTGCCTCGAGATGGGGTTCAAAATCTTAACCTTTAGTCTACTTTTAACGCAAATAAAGCCCCGAACCGCATTATACATCACTTTCCCAACAATTTTGAGTAGGCTTAGGTCTTTGTAGGGTACACAATATGAGGAAGAGGAGGATGCGTGAGGGTTAGGCAACGAGACTAGCAGAAGCTTTTTTCTGCTCAAGTCCTCAAGAGCGACGAGGAGAAGAGGAGGCGCTGAGGAAGAAGCAAAATTCAAGTGCATGTTCCTGAAATCTCGGCTAGTGATCATAGAAGACCAAAGATTTGAAACGCATCGAAATCTCGATAAATACTTGACAGGCAATCTTAAGAGTATACTGATCTGGTGATCGAAAGGAATGTAGATTGGTGTCGTAACTAGAGAGGAGATTAACTTTCTTCTCGTTGGGAGCCTTCTTCTCTTTTCTTTCTCAGCCAACCTTTTCTTCCAGCGGATGAACACTATCTGAAAGGATAATTTCATTGTCTTCCTCAAGACGTCTATGTGATTTGAGATTCAAGTACAAAGCTTGGGTTTTTCGAACAAAACCCTACAAATAAGAAACCCTTTAACTACGTATCCCTATCCAAAACCTAACCAAACCTAATATGCATGTGGAAATTTTCCTTTATACAGTATTGGTGCTTTTCAAGAATAACCGTTGAAAGAATTTGCCAGAAACATGCCTGAAAAAATAGTAGAAGTTCTAACATGAATCTTGGCGCTTATTATAACAAAGTTATACATCTACAAAGATAAGCCCTGAATTAACTTGCAAGTTTTTAAAAACATGAGGCTCTCATAATGATCCGAAACAGTCACGGAAATTGTTTCTGCTCTCCTAAACTCGGAAACAGGCAGTCCTTCAATTCTGACACTTCTGATGCTTTTCTTCTCCCAATTGTAATAGTAAAGACAAAACGGATAAGACCATTTTCTTGGAACCAGACAAATCTCGCCGGAAGAAAAGGTATCCATGACCATGAAGTCAAGGTCAGCAGATTCAGGGAGATGAAAAGTGCTTATGGACCATTCCTCTTTCTCAGCATCTTCCACAACCCACATTCTAAAACTACCCTTAAGACGAGGATTCTCAACCACTCCAATTTTCCCTCTGTAGTTGATCAGAGTTTTATCCGTGCCGTTATCACTTGTATCAGCCCAAGGATAACGAAACCACATACTCTGATAACCCATTGATGTTAAAACTTTGCTTGGTACCTTGATGATGTTGAACGTTTCAAGCCTAACATCGAAACACACAATAATAGAATTATTAGGGAAATTGATATCCTTCTTGGTTGCCCCGTAATACACGGTTCCGTTCATATGCAGCCCTTTGGTATGAGACACATGAGGACAGGCAACACATGGAGCCTCTCTCCAAGCTCTGTCTTTTCCCACAACTAGAACCTTATGCTCCCAAGGCGATTCATCAATAGCTAGCACTTTGTATTGATCTTCAACAGGCCTGTTGATTTTTGAATTTGAAAAAGTAGTCATGTTCTTTTGGATCATCTTTGAATTTGATTTGGGGAAAAGCTTGGAGCTGCCTTGTGATGGGATTAAAAATCTCAACCTTTAGTCTACTTCCAACGCAGATCAAGCCCTGAACCGCATTATACATCACTCTCCCATCAAATGTGCGTAGCCTCAGGTCTTTGTAGGGTACACAATATGAGTAAGAGGAGGATGCGTGTGGGTTAGGAAACGAGACTAACAAAAGCTTTTTTTCGTGAAAGTCCTCAAAAGCGATGAGGAGACGAGGAGGAGGAGCTGAGGAAGAAGCAAAATTCAAATGTTGGTTCCTGAAATCTCGGGTATTGATAATTGAAGACCAAAGCTTGGAAACGAATCGAAATCTCGATAAAGACTTGACAGGCAATCTTAAAAGTATATTGATCTGGAGATCAAGAGGAATGTTGGTGTCGTAACTGGACAGGAGGTTAACTTTTTTCTCTTTGGGGCTCGCTTTAGCCATCTTTGGTCGCCTTTCTTAGCCAACAATTTTATCGCCTTCCTCATCAAGACGTTTATTAGATTCAAGTACGAAGCTTTGTTTCTCTACAAAACCCTATAACTAAGAAACCGTAAAACTACGCACCTCTCGCAAAACCTAACCAAACCTAATTGGAATATGGAAAATTCTGGTTTTGACCTAAAAAAAAAACATTTGTATAATATCAGGATTTTTTTTTTACATTATTTTCTGGCATTTTAAATCAAAAAAAAAAACAAATATGGCGAACGTTAGAGGTTAGACTGGGTTAGACTGGTTCAAATGTAGCGGTTGCAGTTATAAATGTGGGAGTTTACAAAAGTGGATGACTGCGATATTGAGCGAGCGTTATTTAGTGGTTTGCACGACTGATTCAACTGTTGAAAGCGAGTCTGTTTGCGAAATATTTTTGAACTGGTTAACCAGTAGATGTATTAACGGTTAAACATGAAATTACTAAAATAAACATAATATATAATTATACAAAAAATAGAAAATACTATATTTATCTAAAAATCAAAATCACTAGTACAAAATAATTGATAATAACAGATCAAAAATAAATACTTAATAAGTATTCAACAACTCTTAAATTTTATGATGACATATTTTATTTCAATTGTTGGGAACATCATCCAAAATTATGTTCAGTAATATAATGAATTGGTAAAAAATTACTCTAATATGTGGAATCTTCATGATTTGGCTTATGCATGACATAAAATTTCTTCAATAGATCTAATTTCTCTAAAGTATTATGGTACTTACGCTTGTGCCTTGACTTTTTTCAAATGATATAGAAGTCATGATTATGATACAAAGACTAGAATTTGATAAAAAGTGGATTTATATATATATATATATATATATAAGAGACAATACAGTAAAGTTAGAGTTTTATAAAAAAAATTAACATTCTTTTTTACCCTTTTTAACGTTTTTTTGTTTTTTGTCCACCGTTACCGCCCGCAACTACAAACACTTGAGGGAAACAGTTTTTGGATTTTAGCGGTACAAAACGATACGGAACGGTTTGAAATGATTTCCATGATTGTTATAAAACGTCACGAATAAATTAAACGAGAAAAAAATTAAACGCTTAATAAAATGAATTCGTTTTATACTATGTGCCATCGAATTTCATTAAACCCTTAATTGAATGAATTTGTTTTATACTATGGGCCAGCAAATACCATTGGATGAGTTTAAATCGTCTTTTTAAAACCCGTGCAAAACCCTAATGTGTTCATAGAGCTATATATACACACCTTTCGGATTCTCGGTTTTATTAGTTTTGATGTTGGTGCACTTTAGGTATTGTCTCTTTGTATTTACCTCTTACGTTTATTTGTCAATCGAGTTTAATATATGTCTTGCTGTTCTTAATATAATTAGTCGTTGTATTTTGTGACATGAAACAATATAGATGCGCTTAGAGTTTATTTTGAACGTGTAGGTGGCTCTGAGTTTAGAGAAAATTACTCGGGGTGTGCATCCTTTCTGCTTTGTAGAGGTATACATATCTGTGTCATGTAAGCTTGTATGATTTTTCTTTTTTCTTTGTTCTGATTTTGTCTCTATGCTATTGTTTTTATTGCTTTTGTCATTTGTCTTAAACTAATGATTTGTTTCTATGTTGATACTGATCTGATTAATAATATATCGTTTAAGCTCTTTGTTGATCTTCTTTACTGCAACGTTTACTATTTTTTTTGTGCAGGTGGATCTATTTTTTAGATATTTGCTCGGTTTACAGTGGCCGGCTTCATAAAGAAAATTTTGATCGTTTGTTATATATTCTATAAATGGGAACTGAAGGTTAATATATGTATGTGCTTTGCTAATAGTTTATTGGTTTAACTTAGCTTCATCATTAGCTTTTATTTATGTCTATGTAGCGGTTGGTAATGGTCGTGTCATTGACCCTCAGATTTTGCTGTATCATCTTCCTCCACTGCAAATACTATTTTTAGACGTCTAAGCGTGTTGGAAATGATAAATTTTTAGCTTGATTCCAGTATAATCGTGATCATCCTCTTGCCAGGTCATATCTGTATTCGCGAGTTTTCATTCATCTTCATATCGTCGAGCAACAAAGCATACCAAATGTCTCGGTGAGAGAATCAACTTTTTTATTCGAAGAGAAGAGAAAGATAAAAGCAATGAAGAAAATGGGACAGAGTGGGAAGTTTTGGAAGTGGAAGAGAAGCCACAATCAATGGCTGCTACTATTTAATAATGTTGAAACTCATTTTAGTATTTTTATTTCATAAATCAACTTGACAACTTAGGACTAGATTATATTGATTAAGATTTTTAGTATAACAGCTGGGATTAGCTGTTGCTATAAGGTATACACCATCGAGAAGAGCCCTCTAAGCTGTGGACATGAAGTGCTCCTTCTTGATTATTGAAGCCATCAAAGACGACTTTCACCACTCCTAGACGTAAGTGACCACTATGTTTTTCCTCTTGGAAGAATATCATTTCTAACTGAATCATATATATCCTAGATATGCTATGAGCTTTGATGCAGATCGCTTGAAGATGAGAGTACACCTCAGCTTATATCAACTTTTTGTTAATCATCTCCTGTATTTTGTCCCTGGCTTTGCAGAAAAATGTGTTCTCCCAAGAACTAATCTTCTGGAGCAAGATACTTCTGAAGTTGCACAACTTCAAGCTAAAGAGGAAACAGAGAGTTTTCATTCTTTTGGTTAGCATTTCTTCTCATGCACTCTTTCACCAAAAAAAAAAAAAGAAATAGTGCAAACCGTTTTGGATGTTACAGCCAAGCCTGCTGGCTCCATTAAGGTAAATACGATCACATTTAGTTGAACCATGGTTTTTTTGTTTCTCATATAAGAACACAAACATCTGGGAAAAAAAAACTCACAGATGACTTCATTTTTGAAAAAAAAAAAAAACTCTTATTCTTACTCATATTTCTGTGTTCCAAAACAACAAAGCTTGGAACGATTCTTCTCTGTTTTGGGCGGGAAAATAGATGGCGATACAAGCACAGTGTAGTTACTACGCTTCAAATGCAAACCAGGTCAAGTTTCTGGTAATCGGTAGTGCCGGTGGGTCTGAGTTTGCGTTGATGGCGGCATCTATAACTCTTTTTATGGTTAGATAAATAAGTAATTTATTTTTTTAAATTAACTCATCAGTAATGGTCGAGGATTCATTTTATATATTTCTTATGATATTTTTCATGCTTTTTCTTAATATTTAAGAGTGTACTTGATAAACCACCAACTAGACATGTATCGAGACATTTTCGTTTGTTGAAAAATTGTACAAATTAAGTCATTACAGAGGAAAAGGGACGACAAAACCCCATTTAAAAACTACAAAGTACAGCATCCACAAAAATTTAGAAGATAAAAAAACCACACAATTTAAAAGGCTAAAACATAGAGTTTAAAAGACCAAGATGTTAGTCGAGAAACAACACAAAAAGAAAAAGAAGTAAATTCGAAGACGATGATGAAGATGATAGAAAAAGGTGAGGAATAAGAAAATCGAAAGATATTTAAGATGAAGACGAAGTCGAAGTCAATTGACGATAAAGAAGAAGAAAGAATCCTTAAAGATGAATAAAGGGATAAAGAGAATGAAGAACTTGACGAATAAGGGGAAGAACTTGATAAATAAGGGGAAGAAAGAAAAGATGACGAAAAAAATATAAAAATTAGAAGAAGGATTATGTGGAGATGAAAAAATCGTGTTTGTTTTAGTTCATTTGGTTTGTGGGTTTCATACACTTATACAGAAGAATATAAAAGAAAATCAAAAGATGTATATGAGGAGGAAGATGGAAAAGTCAAATACAGTACTATGAGGAAGAAGGAAAAGACGTAACAAAGAGAAACCAAAAAATAAGAAGATAAAACATATAGAATGAATAGCATAAGAAGGAAGAAAACCTGAAAGAATATAACAAATAAATGAAAGAAAATGAAGAAAGAATACGTGAGAGGAAAGAAAGGTAAATGTAGAAGATAATAAAGAAAAATAAGAAAAAAATAATAAATAAAAAAACCCAAAAGATAAAGAAGATGAAAAATGATTATCTGAAGACAAAGATTTCACATTTGTCTTAGTATAGTTCATTTATGAATTTCATAAACTAAATTAGTATTGTATTTTGAGTGTTTAAATTTAAATGGTGTTTACATTTTATCGGGTTCGCTGTATTTTGATTTTATGTTTCAATTGATTAATTCAATTCTTTTCAGTTTATAATATGAAAATTTGTTTTACGTTTTTCAAAACTCTTTGGATATGCATAAGGCGCGGACAAGACACCTAATTAAATAACATTTATGTAAATATTAAACAAGAATTTATGTTATAATTAATTGAAAATATTGATGTTTATAAACTCTTAATTTTTTAATAATATTATAATTTAAATTAATTAATTTATAATAATATATTAACACATAACAAATTATGATTATATTTTTTAGACAAATATGTAAATTTTAAATAGTTAAGAAAAAAAACTGCACGTTACACAAATATTTACCTAAATACCTAGTATATATATAAAAGAAAACTTTGGTGCTTCTCAAAACACCATGAATCATGTGATTCTCAAGAATAATCGTCAAAAGAATGTGTCAAAAAAATCACTGGAATAAATTATAAGTTCCAAACATGAATATTGGTGCTTATCGAAACAAAGTTTTGTTTCTGTAATAAAATAAGTATAAATCTATAAGAAATCAAAAACCCAAATTTAACTTCAAGTTTCTAAAAACATGAGGCTCTCATAATGATCCGAAACAGTTACAGAAAGTCTTTCGCCTCGCTTAAGCTCGGAAACAGACAGTTCTTTAATTATGACACTTCTCATGATTTTATTCTCCAAATTGTAATAGTAAAGACAAAACGGATCTGACAACTTTCTTGGAACCAGACAAATCTCGCCGTTAGAAAAGGTAGCCATGACCTTGAAGTCAAGGACAGCAGCAGCAGATCCAGGGAGCTGAAAAGTGTTCATGGACCATTCCTCTTTCTCAGCATCTTCCAAAACCCACATTCGAAAATAACCATTACGAGGATTCTTAACCACACCAAGTTTCCCTCTGTAGTTGATCAGAGGTTTATCAGTCCACATATTCTCAATACCCATTGGTACAACTTCGCTTGGTAATTTGATGATGTTAAACGTTTCAAACCTAACATTGAAACTCATAATTATAGGAATATTATTCGGGGAATCAATGTCCTTGGTAGAGGCCCCGTAGTACACGGTTCCGTTCATATACAGTCCGGTGGTATGAGACACATGAGGACAGGCAACACATTGTGGGTCTCTCCAAGCTCTGTCTCTTCCCACAACCAGAACCTTGTGCTCAGCTCTCAAAGGCGATTCATCAATGGCTAGCACTTTGTATTGATCTTCAATAGGGTCGTACCCGAAAAAGAAGTCATGTCCTTTTGGATCATCTTGGGGAAAAGCTTGGAGCTGCCTTGTGATGGGATTAAAAATCTCAACCATTAGTCTACTTCCAACGCAGATCAAGCCGTGAACCGGATTATACATCACTCTCCCATCAAATTTGCGTAGCCTCAGGTCTCTGTAGGGTACACAATATGAGTAAGAGGAGGATGCGTGTGGGTTAGGCAACGAGACTAGCAAAAGCTTTTTTTGGTGAAAGTCCTCAAACGCGATGAGGAGACGACCAGGCGCTGAGGAAGAAGCAAAATTCAAGTGTTGGTTCCTGAAATCTCGGCTATTGATTATAGAAGACCAAAGCTTGGAAACCCATCGAAATCTCGATAAAGACTTGACAGGCAATCTTAAAAGTATATTGATCTGGAGATCAAGAGGAATGTATGGTGTCGTAAACAACTTTCTTCTCCTTCGGGCTCGCTTTAGCCTTCTTTTGTTGCCTTTCCTCCTCATTAAACGTCTATTAGATTCAAGTACGAAGCTTTGTCTCTCTACAAAACCCTATACGTAAGAAACCCTTAAACTACGCACTACGCAGTACGCACCCCTCAGCCAAACCTAACTAAACCTAATTGGACTGTGCGAAATTACCTTTATATTGAATAATTTCCGGTGTCGACCTCAAAAAAACAAAAAAAAGAAAATGTATAATTTGCATTTTATTAAGGGAAAAACTCTTATCTTATTGTTTCCATAAGCAGTGTATATATACATTACATAACTAATGTATCAGAAACCCTAATGGGCCATGAGACATTAACCTGATGGTTAATGGGCCGGTTACTAGAAGTCCATTTGTTTATAACACTCCCCCTTGGACAAGGTAACCGTGCCTGTCACAAAACCGGGATCTCTATAATGCGCTGGGGAACGTTGCCTCATTAAAACCTTACCAGGAAAACCCAGTGGGAAAAACCATGGTGAAGGAAAAAGAGTACAACACGCATTACTCCCCCTGGTTTAGGCATCACTGTAGATCTCTAAGTCTACGCATTCCTATCTGATGAATGAGCTTCCGGAGTGTAGAAGTCGGTAATGATTTAGTGAATAGATCGGCTGAATTTTCGCTTGATCGGACTTGCTGAACCTTGACCTGACCATCCTTCTGTAGCTCATGAGTGAAGAAGAATTTGGGCAGAATATGCTTCGTCCGGTCACCTTTGATGTAGCCGTCCTTGAGTTGAGCGATACAAGCTGCATTGTCTTCATACATCACCGTAGGCTCCTTATCTTCGTCCATACCACAATCTGATCGGATATGCTGAGTCATGGACCGCAACCAAACACACTCTCTACTAGCTTCGTGAATGGCCAAGATTTCCGCATGGTTGGATGAGGTAGCGGCAATAGTCTGCTTCATGGATCTCCAAGATATGGCTGTTCCTCCATGCGTGAAAACATAACCGGTTTGAGACCAGGCACAGTGCGGATCTGACAAATATCCTGCATCAGCAAAACCAACTAGACCATCCTTGTTATGGTTATAATAAAATAATCCCAAGTCCTTAGTACCTTGAAGGTATCTAAGGATGTGCTTAATACCGTTCCAGTGCCTTTGAGTTGGAGACGAACTAAAGCGAGTTAAGAGGCTCACGGCAAAGCAGATGTCTGGTCTAGTGTGACTAGCCAAGTACATTAATGCTCCTATGGCACTGAGGTATGGCATTTCAGGACCGAGGATTTCTTCATCGTCCTTCTTTGGACCGAATGGATCACTATCCAATCCAAGGCTCCTCACAACCATTGGGCTGGTCAATGGGTGGGCCTGGTCCATATTGAATCTCTTGAGTACCTTTTCAGTGTATGCCAATTGATGCACAAGGATTCCGTCATTGACGTACTCAAGTTGTAATCCCAAACAGAATTTAGTTTTGCCTAGGTCTTTCATTTCAAACTCTGCTTTTAAGCATTCAACTGTTTGGGCGATTTCACCAGATGTTCCGAGGATGTTCAAGTCATCCACGTATACTGCTATGATTACAAATCCTTTGTTTTGATATTTTCTGATGAAGATGCATGGACTGATCGGATCGTTTTCGTAGCCTTCTCTGATGAGATATTCGCTTAACCGGTTATACCACATACGTCCGCTTTGTTTCAGTCCATATAAGGATTTGTTCAGCCTAATGCAGTGTTTATCACGAGATGCATGCTTATCTTTGAGCTCAATACCATCTGGTAATCTCATATAGATTTCACTGTCCAGTGGTCCATAAAGATATGCGGTTACAACATCCATTAACCGCAAATCTAAGTTTTCTCTTATGGCCAGACTTATGAGGAATTGAAATGTAGTTGCATCCACCACTGGAGAATAAGTCTCCTCATAATCGATTCCGGGTCTCTGTGAGAATCCTTGTGCTACAAGGCGTGCCTTGTATCTAACAACTTCGCCGAGTTCGTTTCTTTTACGCACAAAGACCCATTTGTTTCCCACTGGTTTAACATCGAATGGTGTCCTTAAGACCGGACCAAACACATTCCATTTCTTTAAACTATTCAACTCCACGTTTATGGCTTCTTTCCATTTCAGCCAATCTGATCTACGAGTGCACTCAATTATAGACGTGGGTTCTAGATCCTCTTACGTGTGCGTAATCTCAAGTGCTACCTTGTATGCAAAAGTTTCATTGATGTCGACATCTTTTCTGTTCCATAGAGAACCGAATATGATATAATTGATTGAGATCTCATTATTATCAATCCCTTCAGAACCTTGAGTTTTGGCGTCCCAAACCTCTTGAGATGGTTCGATAGGGTAAGTATCAGCTGAGGCTGTATCCGTGTTCTCTTGAATCCCGGTTTCAATCATTGCACCTTTCTTTGATTTCCGGGGATTCTTATCTTTGGAACCTGGTGGTCTGCCACGTTTCTTACGTGCGTCAGACTCTGTAGCAACTTGACTTTTCCCTGAGGGGACATCTATTCGTACTGGTGCATTACAAGCTGGTATGTACGATTTGGTAACTTTGTTCGGGTCAGCAAAGGAATCTGGCAATTGATTAGCTAGCTTTTGTAAATGTATAATTCTTTGGACCTCTGAATCACATTCTAGAGTCCGAGGATCTTGCCATTGTGTGGATGTTTGATTCCATGAAAGTTCTTTTACCAGCTTGTCTGTCTCACCACCTAATCTAGGATATACCGATTCATCAAATCGGCAATCTGCATATCTGGCTTTAAACAGATCTCCTGTAGTTGGCTCGAGATATTTTATGATGGTGGGAGAATCAAAACCAACATATATTCCCATCCTCCTTTGAGGTCCCATTTTAGTCCTCTGTGGTGGTGCAATGGGTACATAGACTAAACACCCAAATGTTTTAATATGGGAGACGTCTGGCTCATGACCCGTTAGCAATTGGGATGGTGAATATTTGTGCTCACTAGATGGTCGTATGCGTATTAGTTCAGCGGCATGTAAGACTGCGTGTCCCCAAGCTGAGACCGGGAGTTGTGACCTCATGAGTAATGGTCTAGCAACCCATTGAATTAGTTTAATGAAGGATTCAGCTAATCCATTTTGTGTATGGACATGTGGAACGGGATGTTCAACACTTACCCCCATGGACATACAATATTCATTAAACGCTTGGGAAGTGAATTCACCAGCATTATCAAGACGTATAGTCTTTAATGGGAAGTCTGTAAAATGGGCTCGTAATCTGATGATTTGGGCCAATAATCTAGCAAAAGCCTGGTTCCTAGAAGAGAGCAGACAGACATGCGACCAGCGGGTCGATGCGTCAATGAGGACCATGAAATATCTGAATGTCCCACAAGGTGGGTGAATTGGTCCACATATGTCTCCTTGGATTCTTTCCAGAAAGTTCAAGGTCTCTTTAGACACTTTGACTGGTGAAGGTCGGGTAATCAGTTTCCCTTGTGAGCAAGCTGTGCACTTGAGGTGCTGAGGGAAAATACCATTTGGTTTAAGGCTGTGCCCTTTAGAATTCTGGACTAATTTACGCATCATGTTCGCACCGGGATGACCCAGGCGATCATGCCAAATAGTGTAATCTAAAAACCGTGCTTTGATAGCAGCATTAGCCTCAATCATACTGACTTTAGCATGGTAAATGCCAGTAGATACGGCGGGTATAGTTTCAAAAACTTGTTTATGGCCATTTATCATTTTAGTGATAATTAAAAACTCTTTGTTCCCTTCATCCTGAGTTTCGATATAGAAACTATTCAATCTTATGTCTTTGAAACTCAATAGGTTTCTCTTAGAACTGGGTGAGTATAAGGCATCAGAGATGTCTAGATATGTGCCATTTGATAACAGCACATTAGCTTGGCCATGGCCCTCTATTAGGCTCGAACTACCCGCTATAGTGCTAATGTTTGCGGTTTTGATTACTAAATTTATGAAGTAATTCTTGTCTTTTAGAATGGTGTGGCTCGATCCACTATCCACAATGATATCCATATTGTCTTGCATATCTTCATTAAACAAGAATTATAATTCAATAACATGCAAAAATAAGATGTAAATAAAACATTACTCCATAAATTAAAATGTAAAAGCAAAAAGGTCTTAAAAATCCAAAGTAAAGACAATAAATCCCAAAAACAAAAGATAAAAGTTTAAGGAGTAATGAAAAACAAATTCAGATTTTTGAGATCAATCAAGGAGGTCGGAGAGCTCATAATCCATGCCATCAATCTTATCATCCTTTGAGTCATCTTCATTGACTTGATGAACCAGGTTAGCCTCATGATTATCTTTCCCATACTTCTGGTAGAGCTCAGCAAGATATTTGGGAGTACAGCAGATCTTGACCCAATGATTAGTCATTCCGCATCTTGATCATCCTTGATTACTATCCACAATGATATCCATATTGTCTTGCATATCTTCATTAAACAAGAATTATAATTCAATAACATGCAAAAATGAGATGTAAATAAAACATTACTCCATAAATTAAAATGTAAAAGCAAAAAGGTCTTAAAAATCCAAAGTAAAGACAATAAATCCCAAAAACAAAAGATAAAAGTTTAAGGAGTAATGAAAAACAAATTCAGATTTTTGAGATCAATCAAGGAGGTCGGAGAGCTCATAATCCATGCCATCAATCTTATCATCCTTTGAGTCATCTTCATTGACTTGATGAACCAGGTTAGCCTCATGATTATCTTTCCCATACTTCTGGTAGAGCTCAGCAAGATATTTGGGAGTACAGCAGATCTTGACCCAATGATTAGTCATTCCGCATCTTGAGCAAGGAGTTGGTCTAGATGAACTGCCTCTTTGGGTCGGTTTGTTGATACCACGACCCTTACCCCGACCAAAACTGAGGTTAGGTCGGTTATCTTGGTTCGGTCTACCGCGTCCTCTGCCGCGCAGTCCATGTCCATTTCCACGTCCACGTCCACGATCTGAGGATCTGTTACGTTGGACGAAGTTGGACTATTTTCTGGTTCCTTCTGGCAATGGGGCTGATCCTGGAGGCCGCATGGCACTGTTCCTCAACAGAAGCTGATTGTTCTTCTCAGCAAGCAGTAAGCAAGATATCAAATCCTCATAGGTGCTATGATTCATGGCACGGTATTGTTGTTGGAGAACAATATTGGGAGTGCCAAAAGTAGAGAATGTTTTCTCTAGCATATCTTTATCAGTGACCTCCTCGCCACATAGTCTTATGAGTGCAACTATCCGAAAGAGTTCGGAATTGAATTCTTCGACGGATTTGAAATCTTCGAACCGTAGGTTCTTCCAGTCGAACTTGGCTTGGGGCAGTATGACCGTTTTCTGATGGTCATATCGCTTTTTCAGTGCCACCCAAAGTTCGAGTGGATCCTCAAGAGTGAGGTATTGTTGCTTGAGAGACTCAGCGAGGTGATGGCGGATAATAAATATCGCCGAGTACCGTTCTGTTTGAGTCGCGGTGTTGGGATCTTGGATGCATTCACCTAGACTTTTTGAGTTGAGGTAGATCTTGGTGTCAAGGGCCCATTTGAGGTAGTTATCTCCGGAGACAGTGAGTGCCTCATATTCGACCTTCTGAATGTTTGACATCTGAAACATATAATAATTTATGTTAAATAATCAATAGTATGAGACTATGATCATTGGAATAAGGGATTTAAGGTATTCTTGGGAAAACTTTCCATTTCAGGAAACTTGCTATTTTAGGAAACTTGCTATATAAGGGAACTCTAAAATCGAACCTTAGGGTTTATAACCTAGCCGGTTTACTAGGGTTTCCAAATTTAGCTCTAATAGATAAAATAATTTGAAATTAATTTTTTTTTTTCAAATTAGTTTTTTTTTTTTTTTTAAACTAATTTGAAATTAACCGATTAAGCTTAAACCGATCGGATTGATCGATTAAACAAAAAAAAACCGGTTAAATTAGATTTAATTTTGGAAACCGGTTATTAGGGTTATTAATCGGTTAAGGGATTAAACTAAACGAATTTGCTAGGGTTTAATTTTTATTAAGAAAAACCGATCGGTTTAAACTTAAACCCTATCGATTTAGGATTAGAATTTATCGGTTTATAAACGGTTTAGGTGGATCGATTGGTTTAGAGTTTAAGGGGTCGATTGGTTTAGGATTTAGGAGCTTGCATGGACCGGTTTTAGGGTTTTCAAGGATCGGATCTAAGATAAATAACCGATCGGTTTAGGATTTAAACCGATCGATCTCGGTTTAATGATAGACAAACCAAAACGATTTTAGATCTAGGGTTTTGCAAAGATTTAGGTTTCGGTTTGCAAGGAATTTTAGTGTTTGGTTTAGATGATGCTAGGACCGATCGGTATAGGGTTTGAACAAAGCATTAGGGTTTAGATAATACCTTTTCGCCAAATGGATTTCTGACCGGCTTATGATCTGGGAGCTAAAAACCACAGATATCTACTGGAAGCTCCTGAGAATGATGGCCAGAAGGGAGGACGAACAGCTGCTACAATGGAGGAACCACCGCTTGGAAAGAATCACCCACTAAGGTGGAACAACGCCGATTGTTTTGAGTCTTGAGGACGCGTCTGGTGTCGGATTGAGGAGCGGTTTTCACCACTAGATTTTTCTCTTCCAGGGCTTCAAAATGATATGTAGATCGCCTTCTAACTCCTTGTATTTTGAGAGATATGATCGTTTGAAGTTGAGCTTCGTGCTGATAACGTATTAAGGGAAAAACTCTTATCTTATTGTTTCCATAAGCAGTGTATATATACATTACATAACTAATGTATCAAAAACCCTAATAGGCCATGAGACATTAACCTGATGGTTAATGGGCCGGTTACTAGAAGTCCATTTGTTTATAACACATTTTTTTTTTTGAACATTATTTTCCGGTATTTTAAATCAAATTTAAAACAAACATGGCCAGACCTTAGAGGTTAGATAAAAAGAAGATTCAAACCAAAGAGGAGATTAGAAAGACCGAACCGACTTTAAGAACAAAAAGTACTCAAGATCCAGAGTTGTCAATACAAGCATAACATGTTGTATACAGGTAGATCATCTATAACATCGTTTAATTAATTCATATACTTTTTTTTGTCGCCAATTAATTCATATACAAGTCTGAGATTTTGGGATAAAATAGCTAAATATAAAAAATATTTTATGAATTATCTCAACAATTGAAAACCAAAATAATTAGTTTGTTTATCCTAAAAGCAAATTAGCAAAATGAGGGGAAAATTTGAGAAATACCATTTCAAAAATATCACTAAGAAAAAAAAATTATTTCCATGAACTACTTTATAAGCTAACTTTATTAATATGCTTAAAAACGTCTATAAATCTTTTTAACTATCATAACTATTTAGTTTTTGGAAGAAACACACAAACTTTTAGCGTTGCCAGAAACCTACATAAACTATTTTTTCGATCCATAAAAATACCTAAACATTTTAAAGTTCTATATTCCTTTCTCTGATTTTACGGTCGTTAACGGACATACGAAATCAATAAACAGCGTTACTTTTTTGTAAGAAAAAATGCTAAATATATACCTCAACTATTTAATTTTGCTAGAAATCCACACAAACTTTTTTGCATTGCCAGCAATCTAAACTGACTATTTATTCGATTCATAAAATTATCCAATTTTTTTAAAGTTTCATTTTCTCTCCTCAAGTTTCACGGTCATTATGTTAGTTTTTCGTAACCTGTGCTAATTACTCTAGGATGTATACCATTGGTATCTTTAGAAAATCCCTAAATCGATTTGGGGAAGAAAAACTTAAACCCTAATTTTTTTCTCTCATTTAGAAATTGAGTGAAATCGGTTGAAAAATATGGTTGGTAGTCTAAATCAAGTCGGAAACAACACGTGTGGTATATAAGACTAATAAGAGCAATTAGAGGAGATGATGTATATATTTGGAACATGATTTATTGCTCAACTAACCACATTTTCAACTGATTCACTCAATTTTTGAAATAGTGAGAGGAAAAAAATTAGAGTTTAGGTTTTTCTTTTTAAAGGTAATAATGGTATTAATCCGACAGCAATTAGCACGTGTTATGCAGTTTTTCGATTCCGTTATGTTTTTAATGACCGTGAAATCTGTGGAGAGAAAATGAAACTTTAAAAGTTCGAGTATTTTTATAGATACAAAAAATACTCTATGTAGATTTCTGGCAATGCAAAAAATTTGTGCGGGTTTCAGGCAAAATTAAATAGTTGAGGTATTTTTTTAGCAATTTAACAGCCGTGAAACTAGAGGAGGAAAAATAAAACTTTAAAAAGTTTAAATTTTTTTATCGATCGAAAAAATATTTTATGTGAGTTTCTGATAATGCTAAAAGTTTGTGTGAGTTTCTTCTAAAAATTAAATAGTTGAATTATTTTTTTGACATTTTTCCCATTTATAAAAGCTTGCTTGGAACTTTGATGATGATGAACGTTTCAAGCCTAACATCGAATCTCGCAATTCATAGAATTAATATTTGGGAAATCTATGTACTTCCTGGGAGCCCCGTAGTACACGTTCATATATACCGACCCCTTGTACAAACATTGTGAGGACAAGCGACACACGGAGCCTCTCTCCAAGCTTCTTCTCCTCCTAATGTCACAACCTTGGGGTCCAATATCCAAGAAAAATCATCAACGGCAAGCACTTTGTATTGATCTCCAACAGGATTGTACCCTAAAATGTACTTGGGGAGTGGATAACTGGATATTGTTGAGAATTAAATTCTGATATTTCGATCACACGCAACAAATTCTCACTTGATTCAATCTCTCTCTCTTTCCCTCTGTTGACTTAAACTTGAAGTTAACATTCTAGAAGTTAGTATTTTCTATTAGGATTAGGAAATATGTTTAGGAGTTATCTAAACATACTTAGGAGTTATCTAAGAAAAGGAAATTCATAATTCTATTAGGAAAAGGTTTTATCCTCTATATAAGGAGATGCAGAGATGTTGCATAACTTATGAGTTTGAGGATTTGAGTGCTTTAGTTTTTGAGAGAGTTTTCTAAAGCTTAATAAGAGAGTCATTCTTATAATCCTTGAGTACTTAAAATTACTTTAAACTTCGACTACAAGAATTGGTATCAGAGCAAAATAAAAGGTCCAAACTAGGGTTCTTCCAAGACGTGATCAACGAAGATCCTACGGTATCCAATCATGGGCGATATTGTTGCAGCTACGGAGAAACCAAAAGAAAGTGTGTCCTCTTCAATCCAATGCCCTATGCTAAACTCGACAAATTACACAGTATGGCCATAAGAATGATGGTTTGTCTAAAAGTGCACAAGGTATAGGAAGCAATTGAAACGGGAACGACAGACGAAGAGAAGGACAACCTCGCTATAGATCTCCTATTTCAATCGATACCCGAGTCATTGTTCTCCAACTTGGAGAACTAGAATCAGCGAAGTAAGTGTGGGAAGCAGTCAAAACAAGATACATGGGAGCAGCACGCGTAAAGGAGGCGAGATTACAAACATTAATGGCCGAATTTTATCAGCTTAAGATGAAAGACACTGAAGGCATTGATGACTTTGCTAGGAAGCTATCAGAAATTTCGTCAAAATCAGCTGCCCTAGGAGTAAACATCGAAGAGACAAAACTGGTAAGAAATTCTTCAAGAGCCTTCCTCGGAAGAAGTACATCCACATAGTGGCATCCCTTGAGCAGGTCTTGGATCTCAAAACAAAGAGTTTTGAAGACATCATAGGACGCCTTAAAGCTTATGAAGAGCGAATCTTCGAAGAGGAAGAAGAAGCTCATGAAGACCAAACCAAGTTAATGTATACCGAAACTCAAAATCGGGAATACAACGGAGAGAATAGGTGCAGAGGACGTGGAGGACGCTACTCAAGAGGAAGAGGTCGTGGAAGGTACAATGGAGGAAGAGGAACTACCGACCTATCAAAAATCACTTGCTACCGTTGTGATAAAACAGGTCATTATGCCTCAAGTTGCCCGGATCGACTGCTTAAACTACAAGAGACACAGGAAAACGAGAAAGATGAGACAGAAGATGCTGATGAGCTTATTATGCACGAGGTCGTATACTTGAACAAGAATTGTATTCCAAGCGAATACGAAACCAGCACAGGGGAAGAGAACATGTGGTATCTCGACAATGGAGCCAGCAATCATATGACAGGTGATCAGAGATACTTAAAGAAAATCGACCACTCTGTTACCGGGAAAGTACGTTTTGGCGATGATTCTCGAATCGATATCAAAGGGAAAGGATCGATAGAGCTCATCGATAGGAATGGTGATTCAAGGATAATAACAAACGTTTACTTTATCCCAGACTTAAAGAGTAACATTATCAGCCTTGGACAAGCTACAGAATCAGGGTGCGACATCGGGATGAAAGGAGACTATCTTATTATGCGATGCCAGAGGAAGACTTCTTGTTAAAGCTAACAGATCGAGAAACCGCTTATACAAAGTCCGAATGTGATTTACAGATACAACTTGTCTGCAATTAACCACAATGACTGAATCAAGTAAATGGCATGCTCGTTTAGGTCACATCAATCTTGAAATGATGAAGAATGTGATACAGAAAGAGCTTGTAGAAGGAATTCCGCAGGTAAAAATCGAAAAGGAGATGTGCAGTTCGTGTTTATTTGGAAAACAAGCAAGGCAAGCATTTCCAAAGTCAACCACATACCGAGCAACCAAGAAACTTGAACTCGTACATGGAGACCTTTGTGGTCCAATAACGCCAAGTACAATGGCTGGAAACAAATACATCTTTGTCCTCATCGACGCGATGCCTTCATTAAATTCAAAAGATTTCGAAGCATGGTGGAGCAAGAAACGGAGACGAAGATACAGACTTCACTACAAGAAAACATGTCATATTCCTACGAAAATTCCTACGAATGTATTTGGTAGGAATATTTTTCACCAATTTCTTACGCAATTATGACGAAAAATAAAAGTGATAGGAAATAGGTAAGAAATTTCCTACGAAAAGAAAATGTCAAAAAGTGGTAGGATATATCCAACCAATAACCTACCAAATTTATATTCGTAGAAAATACGGTCCAAAATTAGGTAGGAAAGTTGTAGGATCCAATTGACTGTTACACTGGTGGAAATTTCGTAGGAAATTGTCCTACGGATTTCCTACGAAATATTGTTTGTAGAAAAATTGTAGGAATTTTGTAGGAAAATATGTGTGTGTCCCACATCGAAAAACTGCACTATAAAAAGAGCAAAATTAAAATTTTCTACGGATTTTCTACGAAAAATCGTTTGTGGAAAAATCGTAGGAATTTCGTAGGAAACTTATGTTTTTTATTTGTCCCACATCGACAATCTAAGTTAATTTAGGTGAAGAAGTTGCTCTATAAATAAGAGTCTTCACCTTCTCTCCCTCTAATTAATAATTACTTAGTCAAATTTTAGACTCATAGTAATTAGAGAATTTATTTTGTTTTTTTGTATATATTTCATTAATCAAAATTATAATTAATTTATATTTTAATTTAAATTCAATTTCCGATATGAATTTAATTTTTGATTTTTATAAAATTATATTGGTAAGAAATTAGTAAGAAATTAGTAGTAAAAAATTAGTAAAAAATCATAGGAAATAGGTAAGTAATGTTTCGTAGGAAATTGGAAGGAACACTAATCGATATAAAATTGTAGTAATTTGGTAGGAAAGTTCTACTAAAATTTCCGTAGGAAAACTGTCCTACCAACATTTTCGTAGGAAATTTTCTACCATTTTCTTACCTTTTACAATTTCCGACGGTCGATTTCTTATGACAAAATTTCGTAGAAATTTGGTAAGAAAAGGCCGTTTCCTACGTTTTTCTGACGATATTTTCTGTAGGTTTTCGGCATGTTTTCTTGTAGTGCTTTCAGAACAGATATAGGAGGAGAGTTCGTGTCACAAGAGTTCAAAGATTTTTGTGAAGAAACAGGAATAAAACGTCACCTTACCCCACCATACACCCCTCAGCAAAACGGTGTAGTGGAACGACGCAACAGAACACTATTGGAGATGACGAGAAGCATTATGAAACACATGCGTGTACCAAACTACCTGTGGGGAGAGGCAATAAGGCATTCCACATACATTCTTAACCGAGTCGCTACAAGGGCGATCAAAGATAAAACACCATATGAGATCTTTAGAGAGAAGAGACCAAACATCGATCACCTTCGCGTCTTCGGATGTATTGGATATGCTAAAATAGAGACTCCACACTTGAGGAAACTAGATGACAGGACACGCATGCTTGTACATCTTGGTACCGAACCTGGTTCAAAGGCCTATCGCATGTTAGATCCAAACAAATCAAAGATAGTTGTAAGCCGTGACGTGATATTCGATGAAACAAAGAGCTGGAATTGGAATACAAACAACTCAGATCGCTTAAGAGATGGAAGCTTCAAGGTAATCATCGGAGAATTTGGAAATCGTGGGGTTCGCAGAACAAACGAGAATAGTTCCGAAACAGAGCAAAAAACAGAGGTTTCGGAAAAGATAGATAATGAAGATGACGATGAACCCAAAATTTATGAGGAGCAGGAAGCAGAGGTTTCAAACGATCACATTCAGTCTCCACCAGTTTTACGAAGATCTGAGAGAATAACCAGAAAACCTCAACACCTTGAAGACTTTGTCTTACTCGCAGAAGAAGAAGGGGAAAAGTTATTACAGTGTTTAAAAGATGAACCAAGAAATTTCTTGGAAGCAAAGGAATCAAAGGAGTGGATACTCGCATGCGAAGATGAAATTCGATCAATCAAGAAAAATCAAACATGGAGTCTTATGGATCTGCTGAATGGAGCGAAACCAATTGGTTTGAAATGGTTATTCAAAATCAAACAAAATTTTGATGGGAGTATCAACAAGTACAAAGCTCGTCTCATAGCAAAGGGCTATGTACAAAGATATGGGATTGATTTTGAAGAAGTTTTTGCTCCAGTAGCTCGTCTTGAAACTGTAAGACTTCTCATCAGTCTTGCAGCATCAAATGAATGGGAGATACATCATCTTGATGTTAAAACAGCATTCTTGCATGGAGAGTTGAAGGAGACCGTTTTTGTAACTCAACCAGAAGGGTTTGAAGAAAAAGGAAAGGAAGACAAAGTCTATAAACTTAATAAGGCATTATACGGTTTAAGGCAAGCTCCGAGAGCATGGAACAACAAGTTGAATCAGATTCTACAAGAGCTTAAATTTGAAAAGTGTTCAAAGGAGCCATCAGTTTATCGAAAAAGGGTAAAGGAACATCTGTTACTTTGATAACACCGTATTTTGACCACTTTTATGGATCGTTTTGAAATACGTTTTTCTATGTTTTTAATTGCTTTCAAGTACTTTTATTACGTTTTTTTAGTATTTGTAGTTCCAAGACTCTTTTCAGGTAACTTAGGAGAAAGTTTAACAAAATGGATAGAAAACCAGATTTCAGCTCAGAGTCAAACCGTCAGAAGTTCACCCCCGATTGAAGGCCTTCTCACTGTCTGATACAGCTCAAATTTGGAGATCTTAAAGATGGAAGTATCAGCTTTCCAGCACACTTTACATCTTGGCAATCAAACGGTTCAATCAAAAGATACGCGAAGAGCAAGATGTCCCGTAAACCAGCCGGTAAGCATTTCCACCCGCGGCCAACAGACCAATCCCCGCGGTCAGAAGCACCGCGACCGCGGCCAGCCACCCATTTCCCGCGGTCGCACTCATCTCGACTGCGGCCAGCTAACTCTGAGCCCGAAGGCCCATTTCTGAAGCTCGTATCATTTTCCCAGCCTCATTTCCGGAACCCTAGACACCAGAGTATTGGAGACTATAAATACATGTCATTTAGGTCGTTTTTAAGAAAAAAAGAAGAGAGACGAAATACTTTACAGAAATTTTACTTTAAGCTTTGTTTTTAGGTTTTAGGGAGAGAGAGATTTGTCTCTTGACCCCTTGTTCTTTCTTTTTGAATTTCGGTTTCTATTCTACTTTTTAATACTATGTTTTTGATTTCGTTCATTATGTCTGAGTAGTTTTATTGTTGGGATTAAGGGATTTTCGATGGGGATTTATATGTTCGGTGAGGATTCCATGAGCTTTTGAGCCGAATCTTAGAACTTTTTCTTCTGAATTCGCTTTTACTGCATGAAAGTAGCGTCATGAACTACAATCTGATCCAGATGCTTGGTGACACGAAAGTGTTCATCCGGTGTCAGATCTTGTTTGGGAGAGCAAAACAAACATAGGAGTGGAAACCTACCTATGGGCGATTTGTGAATGCTGACGAGTCTTAAACATAATGCATCTCTTCTTTTCCAGGGTCAGAGTGGAAACCTACTGGTCAGGGTTGAGAGAGATAGTTGTCTATGATCACGACAGTGGCATATTCATACGTTCGTGACTCCAGTTCGAAAAGTTTAAGCTAAGATCTTATCAATTTTACTCTCTAGCAATGTTTTGAATCGTTCGTACCCCTGAGAAAACTTCTCTGAAACCCAGCACTTTCTTTCTTATAGATTCACACCGTTTTTATTTCAAGCTTTAGTTCAATATTCTCATTCCTTTTTAATCGATTTTCATTTAAGCAATTAGATTAGTCGTTTTTCTCGTTTTTACTCGTTTTCGCTAAGTTTAGTTATTAGGTCATTTAATTCCTGTATTTTCTCTTTAAGATTCGTTTTTACATTTTAAACACATTACCAAAACCCCCACAAAACCGTTTGGTTCTAGACTTCCTTACTTTATATTTCTTTTGAAGGCTTTTGCAGGAAAGATCCTCCTTCCCTGTGGATTCGATCCCTAAGTACTACAATCGATCAGCTGTGCACTTGCGGCTATTGATTTCATTTAGGGTAAAACTTGACAACCCTCACACACGACACACATCAAGTTTTTGGCGCCGTTGCCGGGGAAGGCACGCGTTTTCTTTTCTGCAAAACCCTAAGAAAGGTTGGTAAATCGACTCTAGAACACCTTTTCTATTTTTTTCGTTTTTGGTTCTTCTTGTTTCAGGTTATGAAGCAATGAACCATATGAAACGAAATTACTACTCTGAGGGAGGTTTTTACAACACTCCTCAAGCCACTCGACGCCGAGAAGCAAAATACAGTCATGATCTATCCTCAATGGATCAGAATTCAGTTCCGAACCACCACACAAGAGGACTTCGCAGCCACAACAAATCAATTCGTGAAGCTTTAGAGGAACAAGGATTCTACTGGGACCACGACCCTCATTCAACTTACAATGCCCACTGAGATATCCATGATCCTCTCTTTGATGAAGATATGTCGTCTGTCTCCCAAACCAAGATTGATGATATGCTTCAAGAGCTCAATGAATCTATGGATGATGGGTGTTGGATAGCTTGTGAAGTAGATGGAGAATCCTCCATCAAGTTTGTTAGAAAGAGGCCATCAAATGAAATTAC